CTGCCTCCCTTCCCCCGCGTCGCTGGCTCGCCCCGCCGCCGAGTCGGCCCCGGCCGTGCGCGAGATCGACTGCACGCAACAGTGGCCCTTCGCTAGAGCGACCTTTGGCGCTGGCCCCCAAAAGGGAGTCGGGCGATTCCCCTTTTTGGAGTGAGCCTGCCCTCGCGTCGGCACCCGCATCCTCCTCCTCCTCCTCCTCCTCCTCCTCCTCCTCCTCCTCCTCCTCCTCCTCATCCTCATCTCATCCTCATCCTCATCCTCATCCTCCTCTTTCGCCCTCGTCGTCGCCCTCCTCCTCCTCCTCCTCCTCCTCCTCCTCCTCCTCCTCCTCCTCCCCCTCCCCCTCCTCCTCCCCTTCCGCCCAGTGCCGAGACCCTGAGCCCTCGCGTGAGGGAGACGACGGGGGCGAAGAGGAGTTAGTTGCACGTTGGCGACGCACTCCCCAAGCCCCCAAACCTCAGAGGGGGGCGAGCTGAGACGAAGGCGGTCGGCCATCGGGCAGGGAAGGGGGGGCCTCGGGTGCCAAGGCCAGACGCAGCTCGGAAAGTTGGTGCAATCAGAACCGGGAGGGGCCCAGGGATCGAGTTTGAGTTGCCGTCGTGTCAATTCGGCTTGCTCCGCCCAGGGGCAGTCGAGATGTCTCAGCGTGGTGGCGACGTATCCAGGCTTGGACGGGGTCCGAGTAGACGGGGTCGGAAGATCGTTCCGCATCGCCGATGCGTCGGCGATGTGGCTCGATGTGGACCCCGATAGTCGTCGCCGATGCATCTTAAACGTTTTCGATGCCTCCGCGATGCATCAGCGATGCGGCCAGATCCTCCGATCCCATGTGTTCGGACCTCATCGTAAAGGCCCTGAAAAGCAGAGATCGGGCGTTGCTACATGCGTCCACCGCCCAAGGTGCCCCCAGGAATTTCAAGCAGGCCCCCACGGCCTCCAGAGCACCACCAACGAGGAGGCCCAAAAGCCCTCAAAGGCTGCAGAATGGAGCGGCAAGTTGGGGGCATTCGGGGCAAGGGACGTCTTCGACAACCCCCGACCAGGGGCTGGCATCACACTCGCCGACGACTTGGACCATCGGCGCCATGGGCACGTGTACTGTTGTCCCTTGGACCACTCGCCCCTCTGTCGTCGCCTCGGTCAAGGGGGGGGGGCGGGAGGGGCGACCCCACAGAGGCGCTGCAGAGCCCCCTCGCAGAGGAGTCGCTGGTCGGGTACGCCAGCGCCAGGGTGGCTCGGGGCGGGTGGTGGTCGCTGGCCAAGTCCCGCCCCCAGTCAAGCAGTGGCGAAGCGTGCTGGGTTGCCCACGGGCCCACCACAGGGGGGTTCAAGAACTCCTTACGGCTTCCTCGACCCGTTCGAACATTTGTGGGTGAAGCATCATTGTTTTAGTTCATGTGTTCAATGTTCCAAGGCCCTTGCTTTTAGCATCAGGACATTATTTTGTTCGAAGAAGATGTCGTGGTAGACCCATGGGAATGCCAGGGCCCGATCTGGAAGCCAGAACACCTCGTTCTACCATCTGCGCCACCCGCAGGGGCGCGACGGCAGTCGCGCTTGGCGCGTCGCGGCATGAGTCGGAGAGTTGCCTGTCTCCAGGGTGGCTTCGCGAGGGCACGAAGATGGCAGCGCATCACAGGGCGCGGAGCGCCAGGTTACGTGACCCGTGACCCTGGTTCAACACAACCCGGGTGTGGCGGCGGAGGTCGGGCTCACTCGGCTCTATTTGATTCTCGGGCTGACGCCGCACCGCCGACCCCCCTTGGGGGTGTAGCAGATGCCTGCCAGTGGGGGCCTCGCGTGGGCCTTTGGGGGTCTGGTGCGCCTCCTGGGTCTGGGCTGCGGGTTTGACGCCGTGCGGATGGCTGATGGGGTCGCGTGGGAGGCGCGTCGGGAGCGTCATGTGGGCAGTTTTTGCACCTGTTGGGAGCCTCCTGGTGGCGTCTGGGGGCTTTGGGGGGGCCTCCTGGCGGCGTCAGGGGGCTTTGGGGGGGGGGAGCCTGTTCGGCGCGCTCTGGGGGCCTCTTGGAAGCTTCTTGGGGCCTCTTTGGGGCAGCTTGGGCACGGGAGCTCAAAATGTCCGTTCGGGCTCCCCCTCTAGGCTTCCCTTTGGGGCCGTCCTCGGGGCCTCCTCGGTCGTTTTGGAAGCTTCTGGGGCCGTCTTGGGGCCCTCGTGTGCCGTCTTGGAGCCCTCTTGGGGGCCTCTTGGCCCGTCTTGGGTCGATCTTGAAGGCCGCTTCGACCTGGGTGGGCCCTCGTGAGAGCACAAGAGGCGAATGTGCCAAAAATGCAGGTTTTCCGAAGGTGAATGGGACGATGTTTGCTTCCTGAAGGCCTCTTGGAACGCCCCGTGGCGACTTCTTGGAACGTCTTGGGGGCATTGGGGCCGTCTGGGGCCAATCTTGGGCGTCTTGGCGCGATCTTTCGGCGACTCGTGCCCCTCTTGGACACTCTGGGGACCCTCTTCGGGCCCTCTTGGCCCGTTTTGGGGCAGGTGTCCCCCACAGCGCGTCCGGCTAGTCCCTGGGGGGGGAACCCCCCCTCCAAATCGACCTGACTGGGGTCCCAGGGGAGGGGTTGAGGGAGGGGGAAGCATCTCACACGCCGAGAAACCCCAATGAGTCGCCGGATTGTGGACGAGGCAGGTGCTGTGGAGCATTAACCGGAAGGGATTCGGAAGGGCACCGAGCCAGCGATTTTGGACAGCGCGGACGAGCGCGCGGAGCGCGCCCAGGCGGCGAAGGCGGGCTTGGCAGCGGAGGATCGGCGGATGGACAAGATCCTGAACCTTGTTGCTAATTTTTGTGACCAACCCCGCGCCACCAATTCGATGTTGGCGGGCTGCGCCGCGATGTGTCGATCTGCAGACTGGCCGAAATCCTGCACCCCGCTGGCGATGCCAACCAACACTGACTCGGGGGCATGGGTGCGCGTTGAAGTTTGCGCCAGCATCCAGGTCGCGCGGGTGCAGGAGGAGATAAAGGAGGACGAGGAGGAGGACGAGGAGGAGGAGGAGGAGGAGGAGGACGAGGAGGAGGACGACGAGGACGAGGAGGAGGAAGAGGAGGAGGAGGAGGAGGAGGAGGAGGAGGAGGAGGAGGAGGTGCAGAATTCGGTTCAGAAGCCGACGCAGCCCGCGCCCAAGAGGCTGCGGTGAATGCCAGAGCCTCGGGCACCTGCCGCAGCCCCTCGGCGCGGAGAGCCCCCTTCGGGCCCCTTCGGGCCCCTCGGGCCCCCTTCGGGCCCCCCTCGGGCCCCCTTCGGGCGTCGCGTGGGGAGGCTGGAATCGGCCGCGCAGCCAGACGGAGCGTCGCAGGCCATCAAGGCCGCCCAGGAGGCGAGGTCGGCGCCTTCGCGGGCGCGCTTTGTGCCTCCTGGCAGGGCCTCGGCTCGCCCCGCACGGGCGCGCGCGTTGCCTCTGGCTGGGCCTCGGCGCGCCCCTGCGCGGACAGTTCAGGAGGGACAAAAAGCACACAGACACAAGTAATCGTCGATTCCCTAGAGAATATGGGAAAATATGGGAAGTGGGGGGGAAGACAAAGACCCCGAAAATATGGAAAAATATAGGGAATCCTTTTATTACCTAACAGCGAAGACTGATAGGCTTCTAATGGTCTCAAAAAAAACATTTTGACTCCTCAGGGGGGTCTGGGCAGATGCCGGACGGGTGCCGGGGAGAATCCGCGGAAGTCGTTTTAAGCAAACAGTTACACACTTCGTGGTCTTCGAGGTCCCAGAACTCCATTCCCGGGCCACATTCTGAATGCCCGGAGCCAACTGTAGGCCACTTCGTGCTCTTCGAGTTCCCAGAACTCCATTCCCGGGCCACAATGCCCGGAGCCAACTGTAGGCCACTTCGTGTCTTCGAGTTCCCAGAACTCCATTCCCGGGCCACATTTTGAATGCCCGGAGCCAACTGTAGGCCACTTCGTGCTCTTCGAGTTCCCAGAACTCCATTCCCGGGCCACATTTTGAATGCCCGGAGCCAACTGTAGGCCACTTCGTGTCTTCGAGTTCCCAGAACTCCATTCCCGGGCCACATTTTGAATGCTGGCAGGCTGAGGCTGAGGCTGAGGCAGGCTGATGCTGAGGCAGGCTGAGGCTGAGGCTGAGGCTGATGCAGGCTGAGGCTGAGGCAGGCTGAGGCTGAGGCCGAGGCTGAAGGCAGACTGAGGCTGAGGCTGAAGCAGGCTGAGGCTGAGGCTGAGGCAGGCTGAGGCTGAGGCAGGCTGAGGCTGAGGCTGAGGCAGGCTGATGCTGAGGCAGGCTGAGGCTGAGGCTGAGGCTGATGCAGGCTGAGGCTGAGGCAGGCTGAGGCTGAGGCCGAGGCTGAAGGCAGACTGAGGCTGAGGCTGAAGCAGGCTGAGGCTGAGGCTGAGGCAGGCTGAGGCTGAGGCAGGCTGAGGCTGAGGCCGAGGCTGAAGGCTGAGACTGAGGCTGAGGCTGAAGCAGGCTGAGGCTGAGGCTGAGGCTGGCTGAGGCTGAGGCTGAGGCAGGCTGATGCTGAGGCAGGCTGAGGCTGAGGCTGAGGCTGAGGCTGAGGCTGAGGCTGAGGCTGAGGCCTGAGGCTGAAGGCTGAGGCACTGAGGCTGAGGCTGAGGCAGACTGAAGCAGGCTGAGGCTGAGGCTGAGGCAGGCTGAGGCTGAGGCTGAGGCAGGCTGAGGCTGAGGCTGTGACTGCGACTGCCGTTGCCACTGCGACTGTCATCGCGAATGCGACTACGACTGCGAGAACAGCAGAATTCTTCACGCTTCGCGTATCCCCACCAGCCCATCTCAAAACAGCAATTCTAGCGAAGCATGCCGACAGTCGTGTTTTTCAGGCGTGTTTCCGCCTGCCCCCGCATATCTCCCCTGTTCCTCCTTCCTCCCGCCTCCTTGTACATCCTCCTTGTGGTGGGAGCGGGAGAAGGACGAGGCGGAGGAGGAGGGAGAGAAAGCGCTCCTCGTGGTTTGAGTCGTTCGGGCTTCTCGTCCTGGTGTGAGTCGTTCGGGCCCTTCTTCCTGGTGTGAGTCGTTCGGGCTCTTCGTGGTGTGAGTCGTTCGGGCTCTTCGTCCTGGTGTGAGTCGTTCGGGCTTCTCGTGGTGTGAGTTGTTCGGGCCCCTCGTCCTGGTGTGAGTCGTTCGGGCCCCTCCTGCCCGTCCAGAAACGACGCCCAGGCGAGTAGAGGGTCGTCCTGATGGGCTTTTCGGCGTCTTGGGTGCCTCGGGGGGGGCTCTTTGGGCCGTTTGGGATCCTCTTGGGGGCCTCCTGGGGGCCTCTTGGGGCCATCTTGGGGCCTCTTGGTGCCTCCTGGGCGCTTCTTGGGGCCATCTTGGAGGAAATCGATCAAAGAAGAGGGGAGCTTTAATTAGCGCTGCCCCCTCAGAAGGCCAAAATGGGGCCAAAACCGTAGTAAAATCAATGATTTTGGCTTCAAAGAAGAGGGGAGCACTTTTCTGCCTCCCCCCGTCGGGGCCAGAATCCTAGTGAGGGGTGTCGTTTTTTAGCCCTCCCAGGAGTCGAAAAAGACCCCGCCGGCCACCCGCGGAGGGACCTCTCCAGGCCCAGGGGGAGGGGGTAGGGGGAGGGGTAAACCCCTCCCCGAAGGGGAAGAAGGGGGGTTGAGAACAGAGAGGACTCGCTAAACCACTCACGCCCAAAGGGCTGGTGGGATTCTACAACTGGATTCTCATCTGAATCTGAAGGGGAATGCTTCCAGATATGCTCCTACACATCGCTGTTAGGTTGCTTTGGCGGGATAATGTGTGTGTGTTTCTTTGTGTGTCCCAGGGCCCTCTGCTCTCTGGGCGGCGGGCTCGCTCGAGGCCGCCTGCCGCCCACGGGGCAGGCTCCGCGCAGCGCACGCGCCCGGTGGTCTTCCTGCGTGCACGGCGACCTGCACGCTGCGGAGCTGCGTCGCGCCGTGCGCCCGGTCAGCGAGGACGCAACAGTGGCACAACCAGATACATACATATAGAGAGAGAGAGAGTGAGTAAGAGAGAGAGGGAGATTCGGTGGTCCGGTCGGATTTCTCGGATCTGTGTTGGGCGCCCCTTGGCGGCGCCGTTGGCACCGCCCCTGGCTCGCTCCGCGCGCCAGGAGGGGCGGTCCAACGCCGACCGAAGAAATCAGCGCGGACCTTCGAAAGTTCATGCTTGTGCCATGTTGTGTTCCTCGAGGGCAGCCGGTGCCGCCGCCGCGGCGCACGCGCCCTCTCGAGGCCTGGCCAGGCGGCGTCGCCCTCAAAGCTCAAACCGTCTTCGGCGAGATGGCGGGCAGCGCCCAGCGAGGCGCCGCTCGGCGGCGGTGCGGTGCCCGCAGGCTGGGGCCCGGGATCGCGTCGGGAGCGCCTGGCCCCACAGGATGGCTCCCGAGGACGGGTGGGGCTTTCCCGACGGATGGGGAGAGGTGGAGATGAGGAGGAGAGGGGAAGACCAAGAGAGGGGGGCAACAGAGAGCGGGGAAGTATTCACCGTTGCTCGAACGGCGAGAGATTCTGGCCACCATGAGCCCCCCGGAGCGCCAGCAGCATCCACCCTTTTCGCGTCCCGGCTCTCCGTGGGGGTGAGCGGGGAGGAGCAAGTTGTCTTGTCCTTTCCGTAGCAGGCAGGCCCGAATGATTGCCGGCAGATCGTCCGACCATAGTCTCGTCGGTCGCGTGGGTGGTTCTCAGGTTGTTTCGATCCGACACATTCAGGTTCCTTCCAGCTCCCCTTGGTGATCTTTCTCTCGGGGGTGGACAGACCTCCTAATTACCCTGACACGTCGATTGAGGAATTGGCCGTTTTCGGTTCGCGAGAGGGCGTCGCGGCCGTCATTTTTGCGCGTCCAGGTCCGTCGGTTTCGGTCCCGGGCCGTGTTCACTGAGTGGAGGTTTACTAAAGGGAGGTCTGTCCACCGCCGATTCTCCTCATCTCTCCATCCTCCTGCCCATCCTCGTCGCCCCGCTTCCTGCCGCGCCCTCCTCGTCCCTGCTCGCTCTTGCCCCTCCGCCTGCCCCACCCCCCTCTCCTCGGGAGGTCGCTGCTGGCGACCACGGCTCTTGGGATGCGTCTGCAGAAAATCTCGGTCCCTCGACTCTCAGGAGGAAAAGAAACACACAGACACAATTCATCCTCGATTCCCCCGAAAATCTGGGAAAATGTGGGAAGCGGGGGGGAAGACAGAAACGCGGAAAATATTTAGGGAATCTTGTGATTTGTGTGTATTTACTTGTGTGTCCTGGGGCCCCTCCCTCCCCGGGCCGAGCTGGGAGGCAGAGATCTCGAGAGCTTCCCCCCGCCTCCTGCCCGCTCCGCTCCCTATAGGCAAGGCCGCCCACGACCGGCAGCAGCGAAGGGCCTCTCGTTCCTGTGGTCTGGCTGGTGCTGGCAGCGCCACCGGTTCCTGCTCCTGCTCCCGCAGCCTTCCACCTCCCCCCTCCTCCTCGTGCTCGAGCTCCCCAGAGCCTCCCGCAGTCGCCCAAAGCCCAGCGAAACCCACTGGAGCCTTCCGCTCCTGTCTGCCCTTTCCGCCCTCCTCCCCGCTCCTCCCGCCCTATCTCGCTCGCCCTCCCCGTGCTCCTCGTGCTCCTACACCCCACCCTGACTCCTCGTCTTCCTGCTTCTCTCGCCCCCCCCCCCGGGTCTCCCTTGGGACTGCCTGCAGAATCGAACCACAAACTCCGAGCACGGCTCCCTCCTCCTGCCCCTCACGGGCGACGCGCCCCGTGGGGACTCTCCCGACCCCCCCCCCCTGGGCTCCGGGCGCCCCCCCCCCGGTCTCCCCCCCCCCACCGCCCTCTGGACGTCCTCGACCGCTCTTCTTCGCGCTCCCCACTTCCTCCTCCAGGCCAGCCACAACTGGGGGAGCTGTGGTCCTCACCCCCCCTGGGGGACCCGTCGCTTTCGACACCCCTCTCGAGAGATTGTCGACGCGATGGGTTCCCCCAGGGGGGTAGGGACCACGGCTCCCCCGGTTGTGGCCGGTCGGTCCTCCCGCCCTCCCGGGGGAGAGGTGGTGCTGTGCGTCGTCCTCTTCTACCTCGGCGACCTCGACCGCGCCATGGAGGCGGCGGGCCCTCCCCGGCGCCTCCCGCGGGCGGGCCCCCCCCCGGGCCCCCCCCCGGGGAGCCCAAAGGCCAGGCGAGCTCGACGGCGCCACGGGAGCGGAGAGGCCTGAGGAGGAGGAGGAGGAGGAGGAGGAGGAGGAGGAGGAGGAGGAGGAGGGGAGGAGGGGGGAGGGATCGAGGGGGGGGATCGGCGTCACCCCCGACATGCTTCTACCTATATACGACCGCCCCGCGGGCGATGAGGAGGTTGGAAGGGGAGGGATGCGTCAGCGCCGGGACGCCCGGGACACCCGGGACACCGCCCGGCCCAACTGGGACACCCCCCGGCCACCGGCGGACGGGAAACGGACTTTCGCTCCTACTTCGGCCTAGCTACAGGAGGATCACGCGCAGCTTCGCCTCGCACGCACGACACGAACACGAGCACGAAACCGAAACTGATTTCCCGGTGGGGGGTCCTCCGTTTCACTGCGATCTCACCCCCCAACCTCCGACTATTTGTGCGTCGCCCCCCCCAGGGGCGGCGCGCGCACCGAGAAATCTGATGTTCTATGCGTCGTGGCGGGCGCCTTCTGGCCACGCCGCTGGAGAAACGACATACTTCAAGATGGGTATACTATGTGCTCGGGTCGGACGCCCGCCTCCAAGGTGGACATACAGTACTGGTATGTCTCTGCGCGTCCCAGGGGAGGGGAGAGGAGAAGGGTTGGGGAGAACAAGGGAATGCGTGATGGGAGAGAGAGAGAGTCACCACCCACCAAACCACCCCAACCCAACCCGAAGGTCTCGATTTGCCCTCCATTTCCAGTTGGGGGGGGTCGGGGATCATCGAGAAAACACATATGGAACCCGTACCCCCCCCACCCGAAATTCGGGTCTTCGGGTTGGGTTGGGGTGGTCTGGTAGGTAGTCAGAGAGGGGGGGGAGGGCGGGAGAGAGGGAGGAGGGTGGAAGGAGGGAGGGGATGGCAGAGGGACCGGCATGCGGCAGATGCGCCTGGGTCGAGGTCTAGGGGGCGGCGCCTGGGGCGAACGGAAGGGGGCCGCGCCGTCCCCGTTCCTGGCCCCGAGAGGCAGGAGGGCGAAGGGAAGACCAACGGGAGAGAGGGGAGGGCGGCGCCGATCTCCAGCATCGCGCGGGGGGCAAGCGAGGGGAGGCGAAGCCGGCGGCATTGGGCGGCATATGTGCTCCATAGCCCACGACGAGAGCGTGGCAGAACGAAGTGGCGACTTGCGGGGGCCGCGTGTGGCTCGCTATCACTCCTCGTCACTGTTTGTCCCCCTCCTCTCTTTCTCGTCCCGTTGAGGGTTACAGGAGTGAAGGACTGCAGGTAAATAAGAAAGGACCGGTACCGATCATCGTCAGCAGTGAGAATGCCTTTAACTCAAGAGGCTTACGCCATCCCGCCAAACCCCTGAGGAAGTGAGGCCATGTGGGCATCGTGAAGCCTCGTCAGAGTTTCCTTAGCGCTTGCTGGCTGTTTCTTGGACGCCGTCGCGCGCGCGCGTGTCCGGGAGCGTCGGAGGAGGGACCGCCGCACAGTCGCTACTCCGCGCATGGGGCTCACTTATCCTGAGCTTCTCGGGGGGGAGCACTGAAATATGTCGCGCGCCTCGCATGCAGCGAGATGCTCCCGGAGTGACGTCGAGGATGGTCGATCAAATGCTTCATCATGGGATTTACAGATAATCTAATGAGGGAGAAGGAGGATATATAATGATACACTTTGGAGAACGACGAGGGTGAGAGGAAGGAGGAAAACGAGGTGGATATCGAGGACAGCGGGACGGCTTGTAATGTTGTCCAGGCTCGGTTAAAGACCTTTTACAACTGGGGAGTGTTTTTGGAGATTCTCAGGAGCCTGTGGGGGGACTCATTTGAGCATTTTCTGATCCTCTTGGAGCTCATGGGGCTATCTTCAGGGCCTGTTGGCGGCCTAGGTGGCGGCCTCTTGGAGCTCTGATGAGATTCCTGGGGCCCTCTGTAGGGCTTTGTTGGGGGCCTCTTGGAGCCAGTTGGGAGGTTGGGGGGCCATCTTCCTGTGGGGCGGGCTGGGCGTTTCGCCTGAGACTTCCTCATCATGTATGACCCTGAAGCTTAAACATCGGCAGCAGTTTCACACATGGAGGGCGGATCGGTTTCAATATGTGGCTCTCGGCCTAGCGCCGCGCACATTCGTGTTAAACCTTTGCAAGAGCTTCACTGATTGAGGGCGGGTGGTTTTCAAAGTGTGGATCTCGCCTTAGCGCCGCGTGCATCCAGTTTAAACATTCGCAGGAGCTCCATGGATTGAGGGCGGGTCGTTTTCAAAACGTGGGTCTTGCGCCGCGAACATTCGTTTGAACAAGTTGCAGAAGTTTCACGGATTTAAGGCGGGTCGTTTTGAAAATGTGGCTCTCGCTTTAGCGCCGCGCACATATTCGTCTTAAACATGTACAAGAGTTTCACGGATTGAGGGTGGTTCCTTTCTCAGAATGTGGTTATCCCCTCAGTGCCGTGCACATTCGTTTATGTCATTTGTAAGAGTTTCACGGATTCCCATGATCAGCGTATCAGAATATGTGTGTTGGAAGGATTTAGGGGTATGAGCGCGCAACAGTTGCGTGGATTCGCGGTGTCTGAGTCCCAGGAGTGGCATTATGGCACGATTCAGGATCGCCAAGACGCAAAAGTCAGGCTGATCCGTGGCGTTAGAATCCCGAGAACCATGCTTTGGCATGTTTCAGTGTCTTCGAACGGTTGTCTTCCAACGATGCAGTTAATTTAATGGAAATGAACCGCTGTAGGGGGCCTATGAAGAGGGAGTTTGGAGTGAGGGTTTGTTCCAGCATCGTTGATAAGTCTTGGATTTACACTGGTCCTCCTCCTCCTCCTCCTCCTCTTCCTTCGCCTTCTCCTCCTCCTCCTCCTCCTCCTCCTCATCCTCATCCTCATCATCATCATCATCATCATCATCATCATCATCATCATCATCATCATCATCATCATCATCATCATCATCATCATCCGCGAAGCTAGGTCCTAGCACCTCTCCCTGCCCCCCCTTCTCCGCGCAGCTGGCCAGCCAGCGCCCCCGCAGGTGGTGCCCGAGCTGAGCCAGATTTGCTCCCTGCTGCCGGCCTGGTCCGGCGGGGAGCGCGCGAGGGTGGAGGCACGGCGTCGCCGTCGATCACTCCGAGCGCGGAGGGTGATCGACGATGGCGTCGAGTAGCAAAACATGGCATACAGTCGGGGCCCTGAAGAAGGAACCCTTTTCGTTGGGGAGGGGCTCCGCGTTCCTTAAGTGTTTCACAGCTTGCCTCAGGTTGTCCTTTATATTTTCGAAAGGAAATCGAAGATTAACTTACGGAAAAAAGGGACCTCGTTCCTCATTTAGGGTTCCTTAGGTCAACGCCCCGACTGCAAGCGTTAAAGTTCTGAGGTCCGCGCGGGTCGGCGCTGGAGCCCCACTGGCTGCGCCTCCGGCGCCGCCCTCGGGGCACTTCTTGCGCGCCAGGGAGGGGAGTCCAGCGCCAAGCCAAGACATCTGCGCGGAGCTCGGAAAGTCTATGTCTGTGTAATGCCTTGTGCTTCGACGGCGGCGATTCGTGCAGGCCTCCCAGACTCTGAGCAGGGCCAGTGGAGGCAGCAGTCGTTCGCCCTCGGGGCGCCCAGCGTCGCCACGGATGGACGCAGCTCGGAGAGCTGGTGCGTCTGGACCCCGGAAAGGGGTCTGGGGACCGAATCTGTGGTTTCGATCACTCCGAGCGTGCAGGGTGATCTGCATGGTGGCGACTGACCCATGCCTGCCAAACTCAAGGGGCCTCCAGTCGGCGGGCAGCCCTGGGGGGCAGTGAGAGGAGGCAGGCCTTGTCAGAAGCCCTCACGCTTTGGAGGGGTCTCCTGCGTCCTCGGGGGAGGCTCAGGGAACTTCCCAGAAGACGGGAGGCCTTCCGAGCCCTCTGAGGATCGGGGGTGGACAGACCTCCTACCCCGACACGTCGATGAAGGACTTGGCCGTTTTAAGGTCCGCGAGAGGGCATCGCGGCCCTCGTTTTTGCGGGCCCGGGTCCGTCGGTTTCGGTCCCAGGCCGGTTTCATTGAAGCGAGGCTTACGAAAGGGAGGTCTGTCCACCGCCGAGCGGAGGCCCGCCCCCCCTCGCGCCCCCCCCCCCGGGCGAGCGGTCCGCCGCCGATCCGGGCCGCCCGGCCGTGGCGACGACGGGGGCCGCCCTTCCTCCGCCGGCTCCTCCTTCGGGAGCGACGGAGCCTGGGCCCCTCCGAGGAGCTGGGGCTCGCGGTGTGGAGCCGGGGGTTCTCCGCGCCCGCGTCGCCGAGGCATCGCCGACATCGCTGGTGTCGGGCCCCGGACGAGAGGGGGGGGGGGTAGGGGGCGGGAGCCTTGAGACGGGGGTCAATGCAAACGGGGGTCAGCCAGGGCACCAGATCCTGCAGGATCCTGCGAAGACCCCCTCTGGCTGACCCGGGTTAGCGAGCCGCTCGTGGCCGCGAGGCGGCCGCTCGTATTGGCTGACCCGGGTTTGCGAAGACCTGCGTTGCGGTTTTTTTTCCTGCATTGCAGTTTTTGGTTTCCTGCTGACCCGGGTCTGGATTGACCCGGGTCAGAAGATCACCGAAGGGGGCGGGGGGGAGACGAAATTTGGGGGGAGACGAAAGGGGGAGGGTGGGGGAAGGGGGGGAGACGAAAGAGGAGGGGGGGGAAGGGGGGGGTACGAAATCTACTGCGTGCAGCCGGTTTCGGCCTCACCGAGGGGCCCCTTCCTCGATGCATGGTCGCCTCCGGCGCCGAGAGGCGCCGGGAAAATCAGCTACGTGAGCTGAGTCTCACCCCCCCCTTTTTGCTATCCCCCCCTTTCGCCCGACCCGATAATGCATCGCCGATGCATCGTCGATACACATATATAAGGGATGCGGCGCGATCCTCCGACCCCATCTACTCGGACCCAATCCAGGAGGCCTCCACTTCTAGAGGGAAACGAGGACCTACACGTACATGAATCCACGCTGGTTTCGGAAGTACGCATCGCGCGACCGTTCGTACCACGGCTCGCGGACTGGTGGGCCGTCTTCATGTACGTGGTTGGGCGCGTACATTTCAGTAGGAAAAAACACACAGACACAATTAATTGTCGATTCCCCAGAAAATATGGGAAGATGTGGTAAGTGGGGGGGGAGACAAAAACCCAGAAAATATAGGAAAATGGGGAATCACTTTATTTCTGTGTCAGAGTGAGGGGGCCGAACGGTCATTCACTGTCCCTGGGTGCGTGGCTGTAATGGGATTCCGCGGTGCGGATTCGTGTTGTTGTTGTTGTTGTTGTTGTTGTTGTTGTTGTTGTTGTTGTTGTTAATGTTAATGTTAATGTTAATGTTAATGTTGGTGGTGTTGTTGTTGTTGTTGGTGGTGGTGGTGGTGTTGTTGTGGTTGTTGTTGTTGTGGTTGTTGTTGTTGTTGTTGTTGTTGTTGTTGTTGTTGTTGTTGTTGTTGTTGTTGTTGGTTGTTGTTGTTGTTGTTGTTGTTGGTTGTTGTTGTGTTGTTGTTGTTGTTTGTTGTTGTGTTGTTGTGTGTTTGTTGTTGTTGTTGTTGTGTGTTTGTGTTTGTTGTTGTTGTTGTTGTTGTTTGTTGTTGTCGGTTGTTGTTGTTGTTTGTTGTTGTTGTGTGTGTGCGTCGTCCCACCGCAATCCGCCCCGCGACCCACCCGCGACCCACCCCGCGACCCACCCGCGACCCACCCGCGACCCACCCCGCGACCCACCCGCGACCCACCCCGCGACCCACCCGCGACCCACCCGCGACCCGCGACCACCGCGACCCACCCGCGACCCACCCGCGACCCACCCGCGACCCACCCGCGACCCACCCCGCGACCCACCCGCGACCCACCTTCGACCCAAACCACGTTCAAGGTACAAACCACCATTTTCGGCGCCTGCGGCGGGCTTTTTTTGCATTCCTTCCAGGTGGAGAGCCCGCGACCCACCCCGCGACCAACTCGCGACCAACCCGCGACCCAAACCACGTTCAGGGTACAAACCACATTTTTCGGCGCCTGCGGCGGGCATCTTTTGCATTCGTTTCAGGTGGAGAGCCCGCGGCCCACCCGCGACCACGTTCAGGGTACAAACAAATTTTTCGGCGCCTGCGGCGGGCATCTTTCGCATTCGTTCCCGGTGGAGAACCCGCGGCCCACCCGCGACCCAAACCACGTTCAGTGTACAAACCAATTTTTCCGGCGCCTGCGGCGGGCTGCTTTTGCATTCCTTCCAGGTGGAGGTGGAGAGCCCGCGACCCACCCGCGACCCAAACCACGTTCACTGAACAAACCAATGCCGCACAAGCGCGGCGGCGGATTTTTGCATGCCGTCTGAGCCCGCAACGACCTCTTCAAGCCCCGCGCATCCACACCAGCCCGTCCAGCAACTTTGCCCTGGCGAGTTGCCTTGATCAGAGAAGTCGGGGAGCATAAAGTGGAAAAAAAGGATTGCGTTGCCGTTATCTTTGGGAAAGGAGGGGGAGGCAGGAGGAGTAAACAGGGGACGAGGAGGACGCGGAAGAAGAGAGGATGTAAGGAGAATGTGGAGAAAGAGGAGGAGGAGGAGGAGGACGAGGAGGAGGACGAGGAGGGAGAAAGGAGGAGGAGGGGGAGGGGGAGGAGGATGATGATGGACGACAATGGGAGGACGATGATGGAGGCCGATGAGGGGGAGGACGACAATGGGAGGACGATGATGGAAGGACGAGGGGGGGAGAGGGAGGACGAGGAAGAAGAGGAGGAGGAGGAGGACGAGGTGGAGGAGGAGGAGGATGACGATGACGATGACGATGAGGACGAGGACGAGGACGAGGAAGAGGAGGAGGAGGAGGAGGAGGAGGAGGAGGAGGAGGAGGGCGCCATCGACAGGGAAGGTGGGGGCCACGAGGTCCGCCGACTCGACGACGCCCGCGTCGCCCGCGCCCGCCCCCTCACTCTTATCCGCGATTGCGGGGTGCTACGTATCTATTTGTGTGTCCCTGGGCCCCTTCAACATTATCGGTACGTTCTCTGTCTCTGCTGGCCGGGGCCAGTGCTGAGCCGCCTGAGCCCACCGGCCGGCTCCGTGCTTCGAGAATCGGCGCAGACCGTCGGAGCTCCGCGCGGGGCTCCTCGGCCCACTGCGTGCCCCGCGCCCGGCGGGGAACACGCCTGCCGGCACCACGGGTGGTTCGTTCTTCCGCCGGTCTTCAGGAGGGGAAAACACACACAGACACAACGAATCGACGATTCCCAGGAAAATACGGGAAAATGTGGGAAGCGGGGGGGACGACAGAAACCCAGAAAGTATGGGAAAATATGGGGAATACGGTTATGTTTGTGTGTATTTATGTGTGTGTGTGTGTGTCCCATGGGCCCCTGCAGGTCTGGTTGTTCCGGGCCTGTCCCGTCTCGGCCGGACTTCTGCCCGTGAGCTGCAACGACTGCCGAGCAAGAGAAAGTCCGAGGAAGGCGAGTGGAGGCAACGACAGCTGGCCTTCGGGGGGGCCCTCATCGCCACAGCTGGGCACGGGTCGGAAAATCGGGGGTGGACAGACCTCCTACCCTGACACGTCGATTAAGGAATTGGCCGTTTCGGTTCGCGAGAGGGCGTCGCGGCCGTCATTTTTGCGGGTCCGGGTCCGTCGGTTTCGGTCCCAGGCCGTTTTCACTAAGGGGAGGTTTGCTAAAGGGAGGTTTGTCCACCGCCGAGAAAATTGGTGCGTCTGGGCCCTGGGAGGGGTCCAGGGACCGAGTCCGAGTTGCCGTTGTTCAGACTCGACCTGCTCGGATTGAGTGCAGTCGAGGAGGTCCTGGATGGTGGCGTATCCAGGCCTCCCAAACGGGGCTCGAGCAGATGGGGTCGGAGGGTCGCGCCGAACGAATCGCCGATGCATCGGCGACTCGGCTCGATGTGATGCCCGATTTTCTCCTCGCCGATGCATCGCCGACGTCGCCGATGCACCGGCGATGCGGCGCGATCCTCCCACCCCGTCTACCGGGGCCCATTTTAAGTGCAGTCGAGATGAGTTTGCATTTTGGCGTTGGCGTGGCGCGAGTTGACTCCGTCCAGAATGCGTTAAATTGTGTCCAGCAGCACCTTGCAGTGTGCCGCTTCCTGGGTCCCTTCGCAGCGCCAGGGTTTTGGTTGCCCTTGCCTTCCTGAACTGCCAGCGTCAACGGGGGTGGGGAAGTCGAGGGCAGGGATGTGTCCGCCCTCGGGCTCGAGGGCGCGGCCGTGAGCTCACTACGCACTGCTCCCTCCCCTCGCAGGCAGTCGCGCATGGCGCTCTTCGAAGCGCCAGGCGCGAAAACAGTTCGCTAAGCCAGAGCAATCAGGGTCAGGAAGAGGGGCGCGGAACTGGCGAGGCATTCCTTTCGGGCCTGTCAGGGGATGTCTGGCGTAGGTTCCAGGACGCCCACTCCATACTCGGTATATCCTCCCTGTAGGGGCTTCAAACGAACTAGCATCATTGCACTGCCTTGGCACAGATTCCGGCTGTCCATGCACAGAATGGTTGCGCTACCCCCTCGCTCTCGCGCAATGCGGGCTATTGATATAAGGACTCGAGATGTCCAACAAACGTATGACTTTACTTGGTTTCTATTGTACCTTGGGCCTGGACTTCTGGTAGCCGCCAAAGAACGGGGGCGTGCCCCTTGGCTAGGCAAACAATACTGACATGCATGTATCTGAATGTTGGGCCTGGCCAGGGTATACGTGAATGTCTCAGCTCACCCGGTCCTGCCCGGGCGGGGAGCAGTGCCTGGTTCTTCAGCTTATTCGTTCGTCCCTGGCCAGTGATGATGATCGGACAGACTGCGCGATTGCACTCCAACTTGTTTTGGAGCTTGCCACATGTTTAGGCCATTCACACGGCGGGGTCGCCATTCTTGGGTACGGCGACCGGCACCTCGCGACCGTGGGCCTTCGGCGCCCCCACTCGCCACCCCTCGAGGCGGCCCTTGCCACGTCTCCGCCGTGCCGAGCTGCACTCCACGCCGCCTTGAGCCGTTGCGTCCCGCACCTGCCTCGGGCGGTGCCTGGCCCGTCCTTGAGGCCAGCGCGTTTGGCGCACCTGCCGCCCCCCCCCCCTTTGGGTCGCCCTCGGGGCGACGGCGGAGTCGACTCGGCTCCGCGTGTCGAGCGCCGCCTGCCAGGTCCACGTACCTCGCGGCCCACGGCTGGTACTGGTGCGCGCCCTTGAGGGGGGCCGCCGTGGGGCTCGCTCGGCGGGCCGGCTTCCCTCAACATCGGCGTGCCAGGCCGTCTTCGGACCGTCTTGGGCCGTGTTGGAACGCTCCGGGGCCGTCTCGGGGGGGGGGGGCTCTTGGAGCGTATTGAGGTTATCTTTGGGACCCTCTTGGCATGTCTTGGGGCCCCCAGGCCTGAGCGTCCTGCGACAAGCCTCGAGGAGAACGCGACCACGTCCACCCCCCCCCCTCCCGCACCAGGAAGTCAGTGAATCGGGTCCATGGGCCCCTTGGAGAGTACGTACGTTATCCAATAGTAGATTTTTGGTGCTTCATGGGCCTGGACTTGAGAGCGCTCCACTCAGTACTTCGCGACGGCACGGTGGCAGGTAGGTGATTCCCCCCCAGCGGCGCGGATGAGTTCACAATGCACGAGCATGGTGGTTCCCAGAGCGCATTGGAGAGGCACAGCGTGCGCAGTCCGTACGTCACAGTTTGACATACCGCTTGATACACTACCTATAGGTGTGCACACTTCCCAGCTCGGAATGGAGACGCATACCATGCTCAACCATGCCTTGTAAACAATGGGGGCGACGCGGGACACTTATTCACCCAATGACGTTCCCCACGATTCCGACAATATTTCCGATGACACCCGATGGCGTTCCCTAGTTTTTCCCGCCTCTCCATGGGAGTTCGATGTTTCCAGGAGCACTCCACATCGTAGCGGCAATTGGGGTACAACTCCAGTTCCTCGCGTCGTGGGCGTTAACGGAGTTTGTGCTTGTATTGGGTGAAATTGCATTCATCTTGATGTTCCAGCAGCGCATCGGAAGCGAATTTGCGAGACGCCAACACACAATGACAGCATGCTTGCTTGAATGTGTCTGGCCTGGCGGGGGGTGTTCGTGGAAGGCTCCGAGGTCTCGGCGGCGTGAGGGCTTCTATAATGACCCAAGTCCGGCCACATTGCGCCAGCTTAGAGGCCGTCTTCAGTCGTCTGAAGGCATCTCGAAAGCATCTTGGCCCGAACGCATTCCAGGGATGTCCCCGAGAGGCCATCATCATTCATACACATAATGTGTTGGGGCGTTGGCTGACCAAGCATGGATTGGGGCCCTCTTAGGACATTATTGGGCGCTCTGGGGGTCGTCTTGGAGCCCTCCTGGGCCGTTATTGGGGGCTCTCTTGGGCGGTCTTGATGCCATCCTGTTAGTTCAGAAGCCCATCGGAGGCGAAAAGGCGAGAAGCCGAACAACATGTTACACAACACACATGCTCATGCATGATGATGCCTTCGGGGGCGTCCTTGGGAGGCTCCGTGGCCGCATCGAGCTACATTGGTGTCTCTTGGATGCATGTCGGACGCCATGTTGGTGGGCTATTTTGTGTTTTCTTGGAGACCATCTTGGGCTATTTGAGACGCTCTTGGAGTCATCTTGGATGCTAGTATCGGATCGGGGCCCGCCCTCCTCCGAGGTGGAATGAAGGGTGTTGGACGACCAATCGCTCTGACCCAACTACGCCTACATCAGGCTCGTCCCCCTACACGAGGGAGGTTCAAGAACAACAAAAAACAGTATGGTGACGATGTTTCGTGCTCTTCGTATCGTGCAGCAAGTATGTGCTTGAATCTATTCATGCTGATTCCCAAATCCGCCTGTAAGAGGACACGCCTGACCTAAAACTAACCCCACAGGGCTAATCCGATTCGGTTACCCTCATCCCCGCTCTCGTCCCCATCCCTGTTCATTTCGAATTCTTGCGTCTGCGCAGACACACGTGAGTGGTGGCAGGGGTCTGTGGAGCGAAGAGGCTGGTATCAGGCGGGAGGTGGCGGCATTGGCCAGCATCTGGACACAGTGGGATGGATGGACGATGCGACGGAAGGTTCCCGGATAGTTCCTTGGAGAGCTAAAAGGGTTATTAGAGAAAGAGTACGGCAGGCAGGGCTACGCCAGCTCCTCTCCAAGGCTCCCGGTCAGTCATCACCGCAGTGCCTTGTTTTCGGGGGCGGAAAAGAGGGGGGTGATGACTAGGGGGGTGGATATCATGGCGGGGGTCATGATATTTCCCCAGATTTTGTAGCGGCTCTTATTTCATTACGTCCCTGGCCCCCCCGCTGGGCCGCGCACATGCCGCCGGTCATGATTTGGACCCCCCCCCTCTTGGACACCCCCCTCTTTGCAGCTCCCGATGTTTGAAATTGTTTTCCTACTCGTTCCCAACACGCGTGCATGAAGCCCTTCCGCAGCTCCTTCGAAACTCCTTGGGAGCCCCTGCGAAGCTCCTTTCTCTAGCTTGCAAGCTCCCCAGGCATGCTTCCCAGCTTCCTTGCAAGCGTCTCCCACAGGTATTTCATCACGCGCTTTTGACTTCGCTGCTATCCGGGTTCTGGACGCAACAGTTCTCAAGCTTGCAAGCTCCCCAGGCATGCGTTCGAGCGTCCTTACAAGCGTCCTCCACAGGCCTTTCACGCGCTCGGGGCTACGCTGCCGTCCGGGTTTTCGACGCTGCAAGTCTAGGCATCCTTTGTCAGATTGGAGTAGGTGGGGTCGGGGGATCCCGCCGCATCGCTGATGTATCGCCGATGCGGCTCGATGCGGAGCCCGATGTTCCTCACGCCGACAGCGCCAAGGCATCATTGACGTCACCGATGCATCGGCGATGCGGCGGAGTCATCCGACCCCATACGCTCGGACCCCATCTAGTCCAGGAGGCCTTTCAAACAGCACGTGGAGGAAAGCTAAGAACCAGACTTCCGGTATCGGTTGGAGGAGGAGGAGGAGGAGGAGGAGGAGGACGAGGACGAGGAGGGGAGGAGGAGGAGGAGGAGGAGGAGGAGGAGGGGAGGGGAGGAGGAGGCTAGGAGGGGGAGGAGAGAGAGGAGGAGGAGGCCGCGAGTCGATCCTGCGAAGGTGCGGCCGCGTCCTCGACCAGTGCGGGCGGCGCGGGGAGGCGCTGGACTGCCTGAAGCGGGGCAAGGCCGGTCCACCCCGCCACCCTCTGGCATTTCGGGACAGATCGACGAGACGTAAGAGTGACCTTTCGCCAGAGCTCCTCCTCTCCTTCCTCCTCCTCCTCCTCCTCCTCCTCCTCCTCCTCCTCCTCCTCTCCTCCTCCTCCTCCTCCCTCCTCCCTCCTCCTCCTCCTCCTCCTCCTCCTCCTCCCTCCTCCTCCTCCTCCTCCTCCTCCTCCTCCCTCCTCCTCCTCCTCCTCCTCTCCTTCTTCCTCCTCCTCCTCCTCCTCCTCCTCCTCCTCCTCCTGCTCCTCCCCCTCCTCCCCCTCCTCGTCCTCCTCATCGTCATCCTCCTCCTTCTCCGCCTCCGCCTCCTCATGGCGGAAAACGAAGCAGGAGCAACGGCTTGCGCGCCCAGGTTTGGTCCCCGTGCGGCCCCCAAAAAGCCGCGCACCAAAGGTCACTCACTCTTACCCAGGGTCTCTCTTGCGTGTGGCCTTCGAAGAGCCTTTGGTTCGCCCATCAGTGGCGAAGCGTCCTGCCTGCGTATAGGGCCCACCAGAGACTGTGTTTAAGGACGGCCTGCGGTTTGCACGACATGTTCTTAGAACAAGTTTGGTCGATATTACACTGTTTGAATACATCGCTCTCATCTTCGGAAAAAAGCAGTGCCATTGTTATGTGAACATTCTTCCGGACTGAGAACATCCCGCGGTAGGCCTACAGGAATGCCAGGGCGGTCGATTTTTTTTTCAACGCAACACCCATCACGCATTGGTTGAAGGATCGCGCGCAACGCCGAAGGGCAAGTTGCGTTCCAGCAGTCTGTTTTGAGAGGCCAGCGTGGGGCCACCCTTTGAGCAGCCGTCTGAAGCCGAGGTGGCAAGCAGGCAGCCGGAGAAGTGCGTATAGTTGTCAGGTGGGCTTGCGTTGCAGTGCGGCGGCGGCTTGTCAGAATATTTGCACCCCTCCCGAATTGCAGCTCGACAGGCAGACACATCGTGACCTTGCCTCAGTGCGTCGTGCGCGCGATCTTGGCGCTGCCAGGGCCCATTCTGTTGGCAATCCAAAGTGCTGCAGCGTGGGTGGCGATGATGAGAACGACGGCGGTTCCAGTCGGGCGAGATGTCCTTTTCCCGCCCCCGTCCAAAGTTGTCGAACTACGCGACGCTTAGCGGGGCAGTCTGCTACTTGCAGGCTTCGTCGCCAGCATTCTGCCGACCCTTGGAGTGTTTCGGTAGCGCCAGGATACGAGCGAGTGAGGCCTCATGAGTTGTTGGATTGAATCGCTTTGCTCATTCCGCCGGCCCATATTGTATCAGTGTTGATATATGTTGGCGTGCTCGTGGTGAGCGAGGAGGATCAGGAGGAGGAGGAAGAGGGGAGGATGAGGATGAGGAGGAGGCCTCTCGATGGCTTCTTGGGGCATTTGTGGGGTCTCTTCGGAGGGTTCTCGGGGGCATCGGAAGGGATGCTCGACACCAGGAATGTTAGGATTGGTGCAGAGAGCCGTGGGCAGGAGGAGAACGAGGAGGAGGACCGAGTGGTATTGGAGGAGAAGAAAACGGGGTGTTGGGGATCAGTTGGGGCATCTCGGAGAGCTCATGGATGCTTCTTGTTGTCTCTTCTGAGGGCACTCGGGAGCTTCTGGGGGGGAGTGGTTGTGACCCTCTTGGGAGGCCTTGGAGTCTTTCTTGGAAGGCCTTGGGAGCCGCTTGGGAGTCTCTTGGAGTTTGCTGGAGGCTTCGTGGAGCCGCTTGGGCGCCTCTTCGGGAGCTCTTGGGGGCCTTTGGGGATCTCCTGGGAGAGTCCGACTTGAAGTCGAAGTGTCCAGAGCTCTCGGGAGCTTCTCGGGAGCTCTTGGGGGCCTCCTGGAAGGCTTTGCGAAGCGGTCTTGGAAGGTTATTGGGCCTTTTCGGACCGTCTTGCGGCCCTCTTGGGCTGCTTTGAGGCCCTCTTGGAAGTCTCGTGGGCTGTCTTGGATCGATTTAGGAGGCTGGGCTCGAAATAGTCCCGGGCCATCTTGGGCTGTCTTGGAGGCCTGTTTGGCCGTCTTGGGGCCATTTTGGGCCGTCTTGGGACATTATTGAAGCCCTTTTTTGTCGAGTATATGAGATGTTTTATTACATGACTTCACGTAGGCACCCTCTCGCGTGATGAGTCTCGCAGATGGATTCGGCTGCGAATGCTATACAAGCGGGCACTTCCCCTCCAGTATGTCGCACATTGATGTCGTTGAAGGTCCGGCGAGTATTCCTATCCCATATGTTACAATTTAGTAGGTATTTTGGCCGTTTCTTGGCCTCCTCTCATCGATACAGCCGACCGTAATTGCGTCCGTTGTGATCGTGACGGCGTTGGCGCCAGGCTCTCAAGAAGTACCCGTTCGGGATCACCGAGAAGATGGGCAAGATGCTCGCGCAGGCACGGTTCGCGATGCCGCCAGGAGTTTCTCCTGCTCAGCCCTTTCCCACCACTCCCTCCCGCCTCCCCTTCAAGGGCCTTGGTCTTAGGTGCTTTTGAGGGGGGGCGGCTTTTGGGAGTCTTGGGTGTCTGCGGGTCGTCTGTGGCCGGCTTCGGCTATCTTGCGAAAATTTTAAGACTGTGTGGGGATTCGCAGGATTCGTTTTACTGACCTCTTGTTGCTCGAATTGTCACGACTGCTCATGGAGACCTTGGTAGTCAGCCAAGGGCTCTTCTGCCTGGCTGAGGTCGATTTGCTGAGGTCCGCGGCTGCGGACTTGTAGGCTACCGTAGTTCTCGTGGCCTGCGCCAGCGTGCGGTTCGAGCATCCAGGCTACGTACCCTAAATGCCGATTGCGGGAGGGGGCCCGTCGTCGCCGTTGTCGCCGCTCCCTTGGTGTTCCCCCATCCATGTCGCCGCCACGATTGTCTTGCCGGAGAGCTGTATGTCCGAATCGCCTTGCGTTGGCCTGCTGGCGAGACAGGGCAGCAGTCTGTGGATGGACCTGTACTCGCATGTCGGGCCTGAAGTAGCGAGGTGCAGGGAGGAGGAGAGATGGAGACAGGTGGAGGAGGACGGGAGAGAAGGGGGAGGAGGAACGACGGGGAACAATGGTTGTTGCTTGTTGGAATGACGAGGAGGCAGAGGTGGAAGGACGAGGCCGCGTTAATGCCTGCCCCCCCTCGAGGTGGAGCGGGCCCACGCGAGGTCCGAGGCCGCGCCCTGAGAGAGTCGTGGGGCGAGGGCGGGGCGGGCTTTGTGTGTGTGTGTGTTTCTGTCCCTGTGCGCCGCCGCAACTGGAATTGAGGAGGTCTGCGCGTGGTCAGCGGTCGACGGCGGACTGGATGGGGTCTTTGGCGTGCTCCCCCCTTCCCCCTCCAGCTCGCAGTTCTCAAGCCTCAGGAGGAGGAGGAGGAGGAGGAGGAGGACGGGGCCCTCCCCAGGTCCCCTGTTCCTCCAGTCCGCAGACACCATGTCTACCCAGGGCCATCCTGGGTTCCAGGCCCAGGATGCAGTAGACGAGGACACCACCCGGCATTGGGAGGCCCCACAGGTGTCCACATCAGTTGCTCCATGATCTACGGGCGAAGAACGGTATACAATAAATTGTCTCGCTGTCGGGGGGCATCTGTCCCAGGGCGGCTGGAAAGTTTATATCCTTACGGTGGCACGTCAAGGTACAAATTCTCCAGCCGCCTTGGGGCAGCGCCCCCGGTGACGGAAAAGTTTATGTTGTATCGTTCTTCGCCCGCTAACATGAGGCCCTTGGACATCGGACGCCCAGGCGATGCTATATATATATATATATATATATGTATATATATATATATGTATGTGTGTATGTATATATACATACACAGACAGGCAGACAGACAGGCAGGCAGAAGACAGACAGACAGACTGACAGACAGGCAGACAGGTATGCATGTATGCATGCATACATGCATGCATACATGCATGCATGTGTACATACATGTGTAAACATAAGTTAATCTATGCGTACAGACGGACATACGTACATACGCACGTATGTACGTTCAACTATGCATACATACACACATACATACATATATATATAATGCGTGTATACATACATGCATGAATACACACATACATAGACACATGCATGTATAAACGTATATATGTATGTAAACGTACAGGCGTGCATACAGATACTCAGACCGTCAATCGTGCATACATACACACACATGTATCAGCATACATACAAACACACATATATACATACAAACAAACATGCAGATATGCATGCTTGCATGCATGCATGCACACATATATACATAGTTACCTACATACGTACACATACATACATGCAAACATTCATACATACACATATACCTACACCTGTAAACATACAAATGCATAGGCATATACATATACATACACACCTATGCATACACATACATTTACATTTACATATATAGATATATATATATATATATGTATATGTATGTATACGCATATGCAATGCATATGCATGTGCATATGTTTATACATATACATAAACATAAACATAGACACATATACATTTGCATACACATATACACGCATACACATGTGTACATATGTTTATACACATGTATAGTTGTGTGCATGCGTACATGCACACCTGCATACATGCATACGCATACATACACATACGTACAAATTGTCATACATACAGACATACATGCGTACCCACATACACGGATGCATACATACATACATGCATACGTACGCACATGCATACGTATCTGCATACATGCACACATGCATACACATACACGCATACATATATATATATATATATATACAAACATATATATATACTATGTACCCAGGGTCCAGGGTCGATGTCATATACATATGGGCCGTGGACCTTAAGGGCAGACTTCAGATCTCCATTCAGGTGGCGGGGGTTGTGGGCCCCTCCGAGACGGCAACAAAAGACGCTCGGACACGGACTTAGAGAGCCGGAATAACCCCCAGGACAGTCCAGGAGGCCCTTGAGACGGCCCAAGATTGCTTCAATACGGCCCAAGTTGCTCACAAGACGGTCGAATGTGTTCCCCAGAGCGCCCAACAAAAAGTTCACAAAACGTCCCTGGGGAGGAGCCCGAGGAACTAAGTTCCTTCAAAAACGAAGGACAATCGATATTTGTTGCCTCTCCAGCTTTTTCGCCTGAGATGCGCTTCCGAGGTTTCAAGGTGGGCCCCAAGAGGCCTTGAAGAGGCCTTCAAGACGCCTTCAAGAGACCCTAAGAAGCCACATAAGGCGCTCAAGAGGCCTCAAGAGGCCCCAAGAGGCTCCCAAGATGCTCCAAATGCGTCATCAAGAGACCACCAAGACGCCCCCAAGAGTCGTAAGAGGCCCTCATGAGCTCAAGCGGCCCCCAAGAGGCCCCCAAGAGGTCCCAAGAGGCCCCCAAGAGGCTCCCAAGAGGCCTCCAAGAGGCTCCCAAGACGCCCCCAAGAGACCTCCAAAGAGGCCCCAGGGCCCGCACCAGAGGCTTCCCCAAGGCGCCCTCAAGACGCCCCCAAAACGCACACAAAAGGCTCCCAGGAGCCCTGCATATGTCCGAAGAGGTCACAGCATACTTTCGCAAATCACCTTCTTCATAGAAGGACGACGACGAATGAGCGCGGGAAGGAGGGACGGGCGGTGAAGCTAGAAGGAGGACGACACGTGGCAGTTGGACAGGACGCTGCATACGACCTTAGCCCCGTATCGGGGATCCTCGGCCCCTCCAAGACGGGCCAGGAGGCCTCCAAAAACCCCCACGATAGCCCAAGAGGCATGCGAATCGCCGAAGAACAGCTGGAAAACACCCAAGATGGTCCCAAGACGTCCCAAGAGACCCAGCAAGACGCCCCAAGAAGCCTCCAGCGGCACTCCCAAGAGCGCCCCGAAACGCCAAAATGGTTCATCTCTTTTGGAACATGTGCATTTTACGCATAGACGACTCTTTTGTCTTTTCGGCGTTGAAGATGGCCCAAGGGGGCCCCAAGACCGCCCAAAGGCAGCTCAAGAGGCCCCCAAGAGCGCCCTAAGAGAGCCCAGGAGAGCCCCAAAACGGCCCAAGACACGCCCAAGAGAGCCCAAAGATCACCCCCAAAGAGGCCCAAGAGCGGGAGTCCGAACAAACAATTCGAGCTTTCCGCCCCACGATGTTCCCAGGAGCCCCCAAGCCACCCCAGGAGGCCCCAAGGGACCCCTAAGACGCCCCAAGAGGCTCGAAAACATTGCGCCCACAAGGCTTCACAATCGTCTCTAAAGCACCCCCGAGAACCCTTAAAGTACATCCTGACGATGTGGACGAGTGTTGAGGAAGCAACAGAAAGCGGAACGAGGCAATAAAAAACAGGACGGAGAACGATAGCCACGGAAAGGTGAGTGAGGAAAGCAGGGCAGGAGGAGAGTGAGGAGTAAAACATGTACCACTTTTCATTCTCCAACGCCTCAAGCTACTTAGAAACAAAGCGCGCGCGGAGCGCGCGCGCGAATGCTTCTATATATATATATACATACATAAATATCACAGGGTAAGCGCTCCGGGGGCACAGCCCAGGGACCTCAAACTCCCATGGATCACCGCCCACCAAACCACCTGAACCCAACCCGAAGACTTCAATTTGCCCTCCGTTTTCAGCGGCGGGGGGGGTCGGGAACATTTTGAGAAAACGCTGAAAATTATGGAACCCGTACCCCCCCAACCCGAAATTCAGATCTTCGGGTTGGGTTGGGGTGGTCTAGTAGACGGTCAATGGAGGAACCGGGGCCCCCTTGAGCGCTCCCGGAGAGAGAGCCAAGACGGGCCCAGAGGGCCTCCAGTCGAGGCGGCCTTCGGATACGCCAGAACGGCACCATATCGCGTCCAGGCGGTTTCAGACAGCTCGAGACTGCCCCTGAGTCGGGCACGTCCCTCCCTCTACGGGAGGAATATTCAGAAATGGTGAAAATAGTCTGGGGACGATTTTTTGTACTATTTCGGACCATTTGGGCATTTTTGGGGTATTTGTTATTTTTCGTCCAAAATCCGCCTGTAGGGGGACATGCTCGACCTAAGACTGCCCGGAAATGTCCCCAAGCGGTTTGCGAGAGGCTTACCAAGAGGCTGGCAGGTGGCCCCACCATCCAAAAGCCAGGAAGAGCCATGCATTCTGGAGAAAATCCCGCTCCTCCCCTTCCGAGAGGCCTCGGAGGCCTCGGGGCCGTGCAGAGAGATGGCCCCCGAGGGCCCCCTGAGAGGCCCCAGGACGCTCTGGCAGGCCCCAGGAGCCCCCAAGACTAAGAGGCCCCGAGAGGGCCCGTGGAGCGCCAGAGGCGCTCCGACGAGGCCCCCGGGAGGTTCCAAGAGGCCCGGGGCCCGCACGCGGCCCCCCCCCCCCCGGGCGGGCCCACGAGACCCCCAAGACGCCTCCAACATGTCCTTGTGAGGCTCCCCGGAGACCGCCAGGAAGCCACACGTTCTTCGCGAACCTCTCGGGTGGGACATTCGAATCGTGCTCTTCATCAATAAACTCCTCGTCGCGGTCGTCGTCGCCCAGATGTTCCCGGAGAGGCATCTGGGAGCATCTTCTCCCCCATCTTTCCTCTTCCACCTCGCCAACAAAAACTCCCAAGAGGCCTCCCGGGGGCCTTCCGAGACCCGCAAGACCACTCACACATGCTTTCCAGAGGCTTCCCAGAAACCGTTGGGAAGCCACTCGAACATTGTCTCCCCCATCCCTCCTCCTCTCCCGCCTCCGCCTCCACCTGCTCCACCTCATACTCCTCTTTCTCCTCTCCCTCTCATCCTCCTGCTGCTGCTGCTGGTCATCCTTCTTCCCCTCCTCTTTCCATAGGGGAGAGTCAACCATGGCGTGTCGACTCGGATCTTCCATTAAATTGTGGGTTCATCTGAGAGGGGCCCGTCAATTCCTTGCCAAAACTACACAGCTGAGACCAGAACATCTCCGATGTCGAACGGGTGGATTGCACAAGCGCTAGAGCCACAAGAGACAAATATCACCTTTCCCTTTAAAGTGTGCCATGTTGCTCGGCCTACGGAGTGTGGGGCTTCGGAGCTCTCAAACGGAGGGTGAGGATCACAAAGTCGCTTCAAAACAACCAAGGATCCCCACACAAAAAAAAAACAACAAAAAACATAGATCCCCACTGAAGTCCCACACGAGGGCCCAGCAGAGCCCCAATATACCCCAGGAGCATACAAAACTGGTCAGGGGGAC